ACTGAAGCAGGAGGAAAAAAACACACCCCCAGCCCAGACCCCCACCACCTGTGCCAGCACCATCAGGGTTGGTCCCCCTCACTGAGGTGACCCGGTGCCACTGCCTGGGCTGCCAGCCCCGGTGTCACCATGGCCTAGTGTCCCCGTCACCAGGGGGGAGGGGGTTGGCAGGGAGCCCGAGAGGGCTTGCCCTGCCACATACCTGCCAGGTCACCAAACCCTGGCCGGTGACTCACAGCTGCTCCCTACCCACGCCTCAGCAGTGGCGCTGGCACACACCACCCCCTCCAAAATAACCTGGCCCCACGCCCGGGTGGCACCCAGCTTCCCCGGAGAAAGAGGCGGTCAGTGCCCCAAAGAGAAAGGAGAGACACGCACCCCGCAGAGAGGGAGCCCCGGAGGAGACAGGAGAGCCCCGAAGGAGAGAGCCCAGGAGCGGAGCTGCCGCGGCACGGGAGGGCGAGGCGAGAACTCACGTCAGGGGGGGAAGGTGGCCTCCGGTGTCCGTGGGGGTCCCCGGCACAGCTCGGGCCGGCTGGGGAGGAACCGCTGACGGAGAGAAATGGGGAAGGAGGGTAAATTCCTCCCGCACGCCTCTGCTCTCCTCTCCCACCACCCGCCGAGGCCCCAAACCACCCACTCTGGCCACAGGAGGATGGGGTCGGGCAAACCGCAAGAGGCCCTTCAATTGCTGCCAGTACCCAAAACCGGCACCGAACCATCAGTGAGGTTTTGATTGCGGAGGGGAGGGAGGCACATCAGCCACAATCCCCTTTCCGGAAAGTTTTCAGTCCTTTGGAGAGCGAGTTTCTCACACTGGGGTTTTAAAATAGCCCCCATCTCGCTCTCCCAGAGGTGCCAGGCTTTCGGGATCATGGCCAAGCACTGGCTCTCACCCAGGACGTCCTGCAGCCAGGAGTCCCACAGATCCGCCGGCTCCCTCTGCCCTGGCATGGCCCAGCAGGGAAAAAAATAGGAAGGATGGGGAAAAAGGGAGCATCTCCCTGGGGGAGCAACCCCCTCCCCGTTATTCCCAGCCTCGGGGCGGCTCCTGTCCGGGCAGCGGGACAGCCAGCTGGCTCGCTTCCCAGCCCTCGGGGGCCACGGGCACGGAGGCAGCTCCTCAACCGGGACAGCCCGTTCCTGTGGTCTGAACAAACCGCCCGGCGCTGCGGCGGCAGCCCCGGCCTTCCCATGGAGGCAGCTCAAGGCGCTGCCTGCTTAGGAAGAACGCTGGCCTCATGCTGGCAACCAGACCTCAGCTCCGTTATTCCCGTCCCTGCAGCCTCTCCCCCTGCCAGGGTTGGTCCCTGGCCCCTCACCTTGTCTCAGCAATCGGACATCCGTCATTCCCTGTCCCCAGCTCTCCCACCGCGGGTTGGGGGGTCTGGCAGGCTTCGCCAGGGGGGGCTCCATCCGCCTCCCCACTGGGACGTCTCCGGAAGGCAGTGAAGGTCTTGGAGCCAAAGCGAGAAGAGGGATCAGGACAAAAGGGTGAGAGCCGGGCTCGGTCCGGGCTCCCCGGGCCCTCCCTGCTATCCATTTTGGCCAGGATCTCCTCCACGGTGGTGCCTGGAAATCGCTCCGGTTTGGACGCCACCGGCACTGGCGTCACCTTGAAGGGAGCCGGGCCTTTGCGAGGGGGGGTCGGCGGGGTGGGGGGCACCTCCTCGCCGGGGGTCAAACC